TATATATATATATATATATATATATATATATATATATATATATATATATATATATATATATATATATATATATATATATATATATATATATATATATATATATATATATATATATATATATATATATATATATATATATATATATATATATATATATATATATATATATATATATATATATATATATATATATATATATATATATACACACACACACACACACACACACACACACACACATATATATATATATATATATATATATATATATATATATACACACACACACACACACACATATACATACACATATACATATATATATATATATATATATATATATATATATATATATATATATATGCAAAATATCACAAAACAAAAATCGTGAAAAATAAGTGGTCTGATTGTAACTCACCAAAGTCTATGGTTGCGTCTGGACGGGACATGGTTAAGCTCAACACATTGATCGGCCACACTTCGAGTTCATCATAGACCTGTTCAATTAGAGCAGATCATCATTAGTGCTGTTTGATGAGCGTTTACAAGCATGACATAAAAAACTTTGAGGACAACATAAACTTAAAACATTTCATTAAACATGTACACATAGACATCACCTATATAATATATATTTGCATTTTTACTTTGCTTATACACTCAGCGGCCACTTTATTAGGTACGCCTTACTAGTACCTAGTTGAACCTCCTTGTGCCATCAGAACTGCCTTACGCTGCATCCACACGGGGCGTCAGCTTTAATGCTTCCCATTCACTTTGAATGGGTGACGTCAGGTGTTGCCGAACTGCATTGTTGATCCATCGGTGCCGCTTCAGAGGCGTTGCTTGCTGCATCAACAAGGCATTTGCGCCCACAGAACTGCCGCTCACTGGATATTTTCTCTTTTTCGGATCATTCTCTGAAAACCCTAGAGATGGTTGTGCGTGAACATGCCAGTAGATCAGCAGTTTCTGAAAAACTCAGAGCAGCCCATCTGGAACCAACAACCATGCCACATTCAAAGTCACCTAAGTCACCTTTCTTCCCCATTCTGATGCTCGATTTGAACTGCAGCAGATCATCTTGACCAGGTCCACATGCCTAAATGCACTGAGCTGCTGCCATCTGATTGGCTGATTTAGAAATATGTGTTAACAAGCAGTTAGACAGGTGTACCTAATAAAGTGGCCAGTGAGTGTATATAATAACTAGTTAAAGTTATGATTGACCAGTAAATTTATGGTTACTAATAACCTTCAGTTTTCCAAAACTGATTGCAATATAATGTGTATCTTTTGTCATGTTTGTGAACTATATATATTACGCTATACAAATAAACTTGAATTGAATTGAATGACGTGTTTAAATTTTCTTACCAGGGTTTTGAGCAGATCTGTGGGTGCTGGAGTGATCCGCTCAACATCCTGGCCCAGATGTCTCCTCATGTGCAGGACGTGCAGAGCTGGATCCAGATGCTTTGCCTACAAATACATCAATTCCATTCATATGAAGCACATCTCAAATCTCGAAACCAATGCATCCTAGTAAAACCTCAGCTGTTTGTGCTTGTTCAGCTACTGTACTGCGAGGAAAGACTGCTGAATTACCTTACACGCCAGCGTGAGGACATCGGACACCAGAGAGTCGTGTTTGATTGGGACGCTGATGATCTGACCGTCCGGGGCGAGCACAAACACCAGGCTCTCCAGGCTGCAGTCCCACAGATGACCATCAGGGGGAGCTGCTGCATGCGGTTTGGTGAAGATGTCCAGTCTCTGTTGACAACAGGCAAGATGATGGTTAATAAACTGAATCATTTAGGTAATGAATAAATATAGTGCAGTTCAGTGTTTCCAAAGCAAGTTAATTGAGGATATTGTTAAAGATGCTGTATACAAGTTTATGACTCTTCTAAAGCATAATACCATAGCATGTTTCTTAAATATCTCCAAACATATTAAGTGAACATTCTTGTTTAGTTGAAAAACAATGTTGAAGTCAGATATTCTGGTTTGAAAATGTGCATTACATGTCTTTGTTTTGATTCTCTTAACTCATCCACTGCCAGTTAAGCCATTTATATTTCAGCACCCAGAGTTGCCATACCACACATTTTATACATTCAGTGATGAAGGCCCTCAAAGTGTGTCCTTGACTGAAATGCGACCTCCAGTGGACAGTAACAGCACCAAAAAGAGACGCAGATTCAGAGTTCCACTTGAGGTGGTTTTTAATTAGCAAATAATATAAATATAATGAACGTAAACATTAGGTGAGCAGGTTACATTGTAACCCCGTGCCCTAACAACACACTACATGACAAGAAGCGCAGTGCACCAGACGAAACACGACAGAAATTTAAATACAGCCATTCAGAAGCACAGAATAGTGCACTTACTGCACTCCAACGAAATGGTAAGGTTGAAACGCTGATGAATACATATTAAACCTCTTTAACATTATTAAATGTACATGCTGAAACACTGATATGTTGGTGTCTTCAATCTGGCAACTTGCGCTTGTGTTTGTTTTGAACTAGGCGTGCAATACCTAGTTCCACCACTGGGTGTCAAACGTAGGATGCTCTTACACCTGTGAATCAATTCATTTGTTTCGAAACAGGGATTTAAATTGTTACATTGTTGCTCTTCGTTCTTGGTGCGGTTCGCTTTCACACGGCAAACTTTCTAAATGGACCAAAAGAGCTAAAACAAGTCATGTGTGAGTAAACTCTCCCCACATTGAGTTTCACGATTTATTTTGCAGAGTCCCGCTCAGTTGTCAGAGGGGGTGGTGTCGTATTGCTTTCTCACTACAATCGATCCGCTCCAGAGTTCGTTTCAATCGAGCAGAGACCACCTCATTCAAACAATCTAGGACCGATCGTTTTGGCATGGATCCGAGCGTGATTGCTGAGCAAAAAAAATTTAAACAAATAAAATAAAATCTCAAAAAAATGCAAAGGGAAAATTGAGTTTTGAGAAATAAAAAGAAACTTTGCAAAAAATAAGAAAGTGCAAATAAAATAAGGTAATAATGCAAAAAAAAAGTGATGATTTAATAATTAATTTAGCCTTTTTTGAGTATTGCATTTTTTTTTTCATTTAAAAATTACTTTATTTTTTATTTGCAAAGTTTTTATTTAATGTTGCAAGTATAAAAGGCCCTGATTTGACTTGATATGAATATTTGATTCTGGTACTAATTGTTGTTTACCTTATTGTTAAACTTTTGAAACCAATAACAAGAGTTCACAGTTACAGAGTTGGTGTTGTCCATCATTTTGTGTTTTAGCTCAAGATGCAAACCTCAGACCAGATACCATAGTACTTTTACATGCATCTTTTTATGAACTGAATGAGAAATGAATTGAAATATCATAATAACAGAGTTGGCAGATCATTAATCTACTATCAGTGTGTCTTTTAAAATTTTATATAATTTTTGTATTATTAAATATTAAATATATACAATTTTATGTTATAATTTAGGCATTTTCTCACCTTGGAATTAAATCAGTATATTTACTATAGACAGTGCTCAGCATATATAAGTACACCCCTCACAATTCTCCCTTTTAAAATCATATTTTTAATAGGAAGCTATACAATATTATATTTGTGCATATACATTAGATTAGTCAGTACTGAAGCCAAATCTGGAGCTTATCTAACAAAATAACTTGCGATGACGATTCAAAAACTCGTACACCCAAATTTATGTTACAGAAAAATATTAAATAAAAAAAAATTTAAAAGAGGAAAACTCAAGAGAAGCAAAAAATGGAAAAATTTAGTCAAAATGTTGTAGTTTGTAATTTTTTCTTAATATTTTGCTTGAATTTAATTGTATTATTTATAAATTTCTAAATATGTTTGGTGACTAAAATAATTATTTAATACATATCTGTTTAATAAATTAGTTTTGTTTAAACGCACCAAAATACATTGCATATAATCACTAAGAAATGCATGAAAAATATTCATTTTCAAAATGAATATGGGCTGTACTTACTTATGCTGAGCACAGTTTATACACAAACATAAATAAAATACAAAAATATACAACATTTATATATATATATATATATAATTTGTATGAAATAAAATATTCTATATACAAATATACATAAATATATGCTAAATTATAATAATAATAATATACACACACACACACACACATGCACACGCGCACACACACGCACACAGCAGTCAGAATTTTTAGCCCCTATTTATTTTTTTTCCCCAATTCCTGTTTAATGGACAGAATGTTTTTTTAAAACACGTTTCTAAACATAATAGTTTTAATAAGTCAATTATAACTAACTAAATATTTCAGTATAAAATAAATCTTAACTAAAACTAAACATAAGTAATGTAGGGACGTTGTCATTTTGTAACCTTTTTTTTTTTAAGGTTATTACAACTGCTACATTGTGTTAATTGTACCGCTGCCTTTTAGTGAACTAAACGTGCTAAATTCCTAAGCTGTGATGCTGGTCGAATGAAACACACGTAAGTGTCTGTTTAGCGCTCTTCTTCTTCTGTGAGAGGGAGAAATGGGGGTCTCTTTCTCTGACTCGACTCACAGCTGTCACAACAACCTGCTGATCTGTTGACAATACGCAGAGCAAACACATCAGCGCGGCTGAAATGGAGGAGGATCCTTCTGTGCGCTTCTATTGTCCTTCAGATGAAGCCTCAATATGGGCATCTGATGGCGCGAGAGCTGAAGAACAACTTAAGATGTCTAAACTGACTTTGAGAAGCTTTTTTAAGCAGTCTGGACAAAAGTTAAACTACCACTGCATTGCAAAACAATTATAAACAATTACAGTTGCAATCAGAATTATTAGTCCCTCTTTAAATTTTTTTTCCTTTTTAAGTTATTTCCAAAATGATGTTTATCTATATATACTAAATAGTTTGTACACATCACTTTAGTCAACTATATATTTTGAGAATGATGCACGGCTGCAGCTAGAAACAATGGTTTAATGCATTGCAAATGATGAAGGTCTTTTGAGGTCGAGTCGTGAAATCAATTCGCTAAACTGCGACATGGTCATCTTCCGAAAATATTACTAACGATACATCAGGTAACGTTTCCTACACATCCCATAATGCACAGCGCATCAGCCTACGGAAGCTGGATTAGTTTTTTGGTGCGCACTAGAGTACGATTGCTACATTCACACCTGCCCAAACGAACCGCTCCAAAAGCGAAAAAATACTCTACTGCGTCCCCGTTTACACTAGTGCGTTTTAGTTTGAAAATGCATAAGTTTTGCTACAGTTACGTCATCCGTCCCCACTACGCCGGAGTTTTCGAGCGCGGAAAACGGAGCGTTTTGGAAACGCTGAAGAGCCAGTTTTCATTGTAAAACGCTGCTGCTCCGTCTCAGTGTGGATGGGGGAAAACGGAGACATCTGAAAACGGAGGCGGGGCTGCTGAAATTTGCTACCTGATTGGGGCTTTTGTGTCATTGCGTATCCTTCCCTTATTCGTCAAGCCTCTATCACATGACTATAACACATGGCTTTAACGCTAAGGGAAGACAGCAGACCAGCCTTCACTGTAAACAACAACACGGACACAGAAATGGGAGCGCTGTTTGCACTATTGTCTGTTTTAGGCGCCATTGTGCAGTTATTTATTTGTTACGTTTAGTAACAACTTGACTTCGTCATCTGTCCACAAAAATACCTCTCTTGCTTTTTTTGCCATCGCGTTCATTGTTCAACCGGCATTTGTTGACTAACAATAACTGAACACAGAGCCAGACACATGCTGCCTGTTTATACTAGAACGCGCATGCCCAGAGTGTGCGAATGATCACGTGATATACGTTTTTGGTGGCGTAGTGTGGACGGAGATATGTTCAGAAACGCTTGGTGAAACGCAAGTGTGGACGCGGATCGTTTTTTATCTAAAACGCTGTTTTAAAACTAAAACGCACTAGTGTAAATGGAGCCTGCGATTCAACCGAACTGAATAAGGCAGGTGTGAAAGCACTCTTAAAGTATATTTAAACACTTAGAATAATTATACATATTAAGTTTTACGTTGTGATGTGAATTGGTATAATCACCTCCGAGCTGCTTTGCGTGGATGGATGACCAAACGATCCAGAGGAATATCCTTCAAATATCTGCATCACAAAAAAACACAAACCCATGAAGCACACAACATAAGCAAATCTCAGAAAAGCTGCATGTGTCTATCTCTGGGCCTTAATTAAAAGGCATCGGTCTGAGGCGCCAGCTTTGATACTATTCTGATTGTAGATGGCGGCAGAAATAACCCTGAGGTTTGCTGGGGAAATAATGAGAGGTCTGGGAGATGCTAAAATTATAGATGTATAAAAGCTGACAGATGGATCAAGCCTTAATCATCAGGGCAGAGTGGGAGACACCGTTTCCCCTCCACGAGTCCTGCTAACACATAAACACTGCGTCTGAACAAGCGCGTACTTATTATATAAATGTAGTCTATACAAACAGAGGGTATGACTTACAAAAAAGAAGCTAATTCAAGTGTGATGTCAGTCAGCTTCTTTTAACCTAAAAAATACTTCTTCTTTTTTTTGTCTTGTCCTGATTATAAGTACATGCGGCCACACTTTAATGCAGTGGTTGGGAACCTATGGCTCTCGAGCCACATGTGGCTCTTTGGCCAATAATACGTGGCTCTCCAGCAGTTAAGTCTAGATCGGAAACGCGAGATGCACATTAATATTTCAGCATTTTGTATAACAACAATTAATATTTTTACAGTACTGTGACGGTTAGGTTTAGGGTTGGGGTGGCAATAGACGTTAAAAATACTATTTTTTGGGTAATTTAAAAGATAACATATACAGTTGAAGTCAGAATTATTAGCCCCCTTTGATTTTTATTTATTTATTTATTTTTTGATTTTGTAAAAATATTTCCCAAATGATGTTTAACAGAACAAGGAAATTTTCACAGCATGTCTGACAATATTTTTTCTTCTAGAGAAAGTCTTATTTGTTTAATTTCGGCTAGAATAAAAGCAGTTTTTAATTTTTTTATCACCATTTTAGGGACTAAATTATTAGACCCTTTAAGCTAGATTTTTTATCGATAGTCTACAGAACAAACCATCCTTATACATTAACTTGCCTAATTACCCTAACCTGCCTAGTTAACCTAATTAACTTATGCCTTTAAATGTCACTTTAAGCTGTATAGAAGTGTCAAGAAAAAATATTTAGTCAAATAATAATTACTGCCATCATGGCAGAGTAAAATAAATCAGTTATTAGAAATGAGTTATTAAAACTATTATGTTTAGAAATGTATTAAATAAATCTTCTCTCCGTTAAACAGAAATTGGGGGAAAAATAAACAAGCGGATTAATAATTCAGGGGGGCTAATAATTCTGACTTCAACTGTATATATAAAAAATAATAATAATAAAAAAGATTCACAGGAGCGCTAATAATTATGACTTCAACTGATAATCGTTTTGAATAATCGTGATTATAATTATGACCAAAATAATCATGATTATGATTTCTCCCATAATCGAGCAGCCCTAGTACACGTCTGCGAAACAGTAGCAACAGCACAACTGAACATGACTGAAGCCCCTCAGCCCTCTGGAAACAATCACACACGGCCCCCCGTATCCCTGCTGAATCACACAGCATCACAGACACACACACACTACATCTGTGTGCTGGAAATCACATAGCAAGCGGTCTTTCCTCTCAGACTCCAGCCAGCTTGCAGCAATTAACCGCATGCAACTCACAGTAATTCCCGTCTTTTGGAATCATGCACTATTAGGGGGCTGTTTGACCAGATTTGGCCCATTTAGGGATGGCTGATTATGAGGCTGGAACCAGCGAGCGCCTGGCTCCGATCTCACGTGAGGCTGTCTACATAATCAAACATGTGCATTTGGAGCTCACAAAGTAAGCCCTTTGGAGAAGGAATGCTGATCTGGCCTTAATTACGCCAACTGATCCAGAAACAGTATTTTCCAAAACAGCCCCAACAAACGCTTTTGACAGGAGAAAGGAACAGGACCGCTGTGTGTTTTCCTGCCATTTGACCTCCTGAGAGAGCTTTGATGACTGAGTCAGCGGTTGTTTGTTTTGTCCGGCAAGTGTGACGGTGTTTCCCACCCTGACACCTGCGGACGCCACTTAGCATGCTACTGTGAGACTCGATGAGTAAAACAGGACTGTTTTAAATGAGTTTTCAGTACTGCAGTCATGAACGGACCACTGATCTTTGGCATAAGACTTAACGTATTTGCTTTAACACATTTAAGTGGATTGAACATAAAATAATTAAGTTGTCCCAAAAAAAACCTCAAGAATTGTGTCGTTTACGCTCATTTCAAATAAGTAGTTTGAACAAGTTTTTTTGAGTGAGGTAAGAGTCTGCAAAGTTTCTGAGCTAATAATTGTAATGTTTTTTTCAGTTGTAACAATATTGAAGTAACAACTGAATTGAGAATTGAGGTAACAATTCCAGCTGAATGAATACTTTACAACTAAAAACTAGATTAACTTAGGATAAATAAATCCTCAAACAGAGATTGTGATTTCTAACTTAACATGACCTTTTGTTTGTTTGTTTGTTTGCTGAGCTACAAAAAAAAGCTAAACTGAAATTAAATGTTTCCATTAAATGTTGCGGGCGAAGTAGTGACGCAGTAAGTAGTGCTGTCGCCTCACAGCAAGTTCGCTGGTTCGAGCCTCGGCTCAGTTGGCGTTTCTGTGTGGAGTTTGCATGTTCTCCCTGCGTTCGCGTGGGTTTCCTCCGAGTGCTCCGGTTTCCCCCACAGTCCAAAGACATGCGGTACAGGTGAATTGGGTAGGCTAAATTGTCCGTAGTGTATGAGTGTGTGTGTGTGTGTGTGTGGATGTTTCTTAGAGATGGGTTGTGGCTGGAAGGGCATCCGCTGCGCAAAAACTTGCTGGATAAGTTGGCGGTTCATTCTGCTGTGGCGACCCCGGATAAATAAAGGGACCAAGCCGACAAGAAAATGAATGAATGAATAATTAAATGTTGCTAATTAATCAGATTTTTTAAAGGGTCATGAAATCCTAAAACACGTTTTTTAGATGTTGACAGATATACATGTGTGGCACATTGCTAAAAACACTATTAGGACACATATATTTCACTATAGAGTAAAAAACCATTGAACTCCATAGTGTTTTAATTGAGATTGTTTATGGATTTATTGTAAGAAGTACATTA